ATACTGGAGGGGGTAGCCATTCCCTTTCTCCAAGGGAATCTTCCCGACCCAAGGATCAAACCCAGGTCTCCTGCATTGCAGGCAGATTCTTAAGGAAGCAAGTAAGTCAGCAGCACTTCAGTCTCTATAGCTTTGGAGTTCCACAGTCTTGGAGAGCCCTAAAGAGTCATGGCCACACAAGGAGACCCTCCTTCCTGGCGATCTTATACCGTATTATACTCAGCTCCCACCAGCCTGTCAAGCTCACTAAAGGAAAATGTCAGGGTCGGAGCAGAATTAGCTACTGGCTGGAGTATTATGGCCCCGGAATGGCAACTGATACGCTGCTTCCCAAGTCCGTCTGGGACCAGCACATTTTCACTGTTCAAGAGACTTCAACTTCAAGCCTAAGACTTTGTTTCGACATAGCAAACTTCTGCAGAAAAACATAAAACATCACCAAAATCCTGGTCAAATGTGCTGCTCAGTTTTATAACCTCAATCTACTCTCCAAATGTGCTTTCCTTCTAAGAAGACTGATACAATGTAATACTCAAAGGAAATAGCTGAGTGAGCCAAAAGTGGGGAGAAGCAGGTCCTTTAACAGGGTGGTGCCTTTTAATTCTCTAAATAACCCACATCCACAGAGCGATTTTCACTCCAGAAAAGCTAAGGAACGAAGGGCACCAAAGCATTCTGAGGCCACTTTCATGTGAGGAACAACAATAATTCTCACACTACGCTTAGGAGGGGATCTGAGATTTTCCTGGGGTTATTAGAAAAGGTTGCATTTGATTATATAAAACATGTATCTCACCTAGAATCTTAGGTCCAAATCTTGTATAGAATGTGCATGAATTATCAACTTTCTATACAAAAAACTTTTCACTAGCAGTTTGGCTAAGACGCAGTTCTAGTTTTTCAAATAGCTTTGTTTTGTGGCCAAGGATAAGATCAGAGAATCAAGGAAACTTGTTCAAGGTCATCTGGTCAAATCAGGTGGGACTGAAATGACTGATTTCTGCCTTCCAAAAGCCAGCCATACATCAAACTTGTCTTGGAACTAAGCAGGCCCAAAGAGAAAAATCACTCCTTTCCTTCCCTCAATAATCAAAAACAAAATTAAACAGTGGAACTTCAATAAAATGTCCTCAGTATGTAGACTACTGCTCTAACAATGCGCGGGCATCTGTCTCAAAATCAGTAAATGAAACGATTTGCAAACGTGAGTAACTGCTTTAACAACCTTCCCATGTGACAGCGCCATAAACTTCACAAGAGTTTAAAAATCAGCCCTTCAAATGCACATCCATAAATAGTTCACTTCGCTTATCTTCTAAAAGACCTGGTCAGACTGGAACAGAGGTACTCTGAGCTCTTGGATTTTTTCTAAGTTAAAGGATCATGAGTAAGTCCAAAGTTCTCTTCAGAATTCTGAAAGGAACAGGGATATTTCAACAGTACAGGTGAAACAAGTAATGAAATCAACAGGAACCACTCAGGCTGTAGACAGCAGGGGGCTACAAAGAGGGAGGCACGCACTTTCATAACCACATTCCTTTCCTCTTCCTTTTTCAAAACTCCCACCTCCCTGACACTTCTGCCCCATCCTCTTCATTTCTACTTTTAAGCTGCTGATGTTAAAACACTACTTTTGATTTAATAACAAAAACATAATGGCCAATGAAGCCGTATTTTTAAATTACTTAAACCGGGTCAGCATGGGGATATCAAAGTAGCTAAGAGCACTCTGTATTTGTTACAAACACATTATAGCCCTATTCAGTGATCCTCCTCACATCCAATTTTCTAAGTCAAATGGAACCATGACCCCCCATTTGAAATGATCCTCAAGTCCAGAAATTCCCATCGTTCTCAGACTATATGGGTCACTGATATTGAGAGCCAGCGTTAGATCTCAAAAATATCAACAATAGTTATGCTGAAACTGTAGCTGGGATATATTACATGTGAGCAACTTTAAAATATTTATAACTAACGTGATTTTTCCACATCTCAAATTCAAGTCTGCCTATTTCTGAGTATAGCTTTAACACACTCTTGGATTAAGGACTTCACTTTAGCCCTTGAGCACAACGTGGCCGCAGGGTTTACAAAGCAAACCAAAAGCAGGACTGGAAAAAATTAAACCTGGAAGGAAATACCAGTCTGATACTTCCCGTTATGCCAGAACAGAGAATTGTCATTAGTTGAAAATGTATTAGGTTGAGCTATATCAAACTGCCAACATACAACTGGTTTTGACCTGCAAAAATGGAAACTTCACATGAATATCATCTAATATTATTTTCTATGCTCATTTTAATAATTGTCTCAAATAAGGTCTTCACAACCCAAGGCATATAAAAGCTGCTCTTTCTCTAGTTTGCCTTAACCTTCTGAAAAAATTTGCCACCCTCTGTCCAAAGCTGATTATTTTAAAAAATTAAGTCAGTTAACAGGAAAGCGAAGATAAAGAAAATCACCAAACTCCTCAATGAGAGAACCCAAAAACCACTCCACATCCTTCCCACCACTCCCCTTTTCCCACTAACAGAATTTGAATCCTAACTTGATCGGCACTTTAGAAGACTTACACTTAAGGAGAAAGCAGTGACTATTTCAGTGCTTTCCACCTCCTTCAGTTACCAGTGAGGAAGCAACTGAAGTGTGGTAGAGCCCACTGCTTTACACTGGGGTTCCACTGACCTAAAAATCTACCACTGAAGAATTTTAATTAAGTTGATAAGTTCCATTTTGTTTCAGAATCCTGCTTCTAATCTCTCTAATCAACAGGGTGATTACCAACCCAGTGGGATATATTTTTCCATTTAGACATAGTTGATATGTGCACCCACATCAGGAAAAAACCTGATACTTTTACAAAAGGGGTTATGGCTCCAAGATTGCCTCTAGGTTCAAACCCATCATTTTACACTCAATTTTATTAGAGTCTAATATCCAATATGCTCATGAACTCTTTTCTCAATTAATTCCCCTAATTACTCACCTCTTCTTATTCTGCCCAAATTCCTAACTCCTCACCAGGCCACCCACAGTTCCTTCCCGGAGGGAGATGCTTCTAAAACACTAACTGTCACAGCAACCTGATATTACCTGTTCTATCATCGAGATCGAGTTTGCAGTTCAAATCATCAGTATTAACCAAATGAAATATGCTCTTTAAAAAAAAAATCAGGAAAGAATCTCCTGCTGTATCTGGAAATTTCTCTATTGGGCTAGCTCAGCGTTGATAGGTGAACAGAAAGGCACTAATCATTACTACAATCCTAAAGGGTTTTTCTCTAGAGTTTAACCATCAACCCTTCCTAACATCCAAGTAATCCAGACTTTTTAGAGCAAAACTGCCCCACCCCCAACAGCATCTTCTGGTCATTTTTCACCTTAAACTGAGGTTTTCTTATGGCCTCACGGTCATGCCAAGTCAGGCAAATACATACCTTAAACCTTCCATCTACCCCCTTCTTTCTCAAAAGCTACATACTGTAGCTCTTTCTTTTAAAACTCTCTAAGCATCAAGTACAAAGTGCCTTAAAAGGGAATTTATCTGCTTCCAGCTTTAAAACCCTATGAGGTTTTTTCATCCTAATGAACACCCCCATTTTACAGAGGAGAAAAACTGAGGCTAAGTAACTTGCTCAAGGTCATACAGGGCAGGGACCAGAATACAAGTCTGACCTCCAAGTTCCTGACCTTAACCCTCAGGCTGTTACTTCCTTCCACTATCTTTCTTCTCCTCCCTGATGTCTGCTCTGTGGTTTTAAACAGCCTCTGCTCGGGCAGGGCTCAGTTTCTCCAGAGCTGCCTTTTCTTTAAAGGCTAAGCCTTTGAGAGAAGAATCAGTATCCATTCCCATCTTTTCTCCACGCTCCTCCTTCCCACCTGCATCATTTCCCCAAGGCCCTAGTCACAGCTCCTCCTCTAGCGCCCTCCACCCCCGCCCCGGCCCCAGAACAGGTCCCCTTCTACCCTTAACGCCAGGAGAGGCCAGAAGGGAAAGAAGGGAAGAAAGGAGAGGCCACACACCACCCCTTCCCCAAGACTTCAACTGGGAAGAAACTGGCAGAGAACCAGAGAAGGGTGGTGAGGGCTTGGGAAAAGATAGGCAGGCGGTAAGGGAGCCGGGAATGACAAGGGTGTGCCCTTGGGGGTAGGCGGGGCAGGGGGGAGGGGATGGAGTGGCGGCGTGGGACGCTCCGGGGCTTGCAGATTGAATGGGGGGTGGAACTCCGGGGGGGAGCGGGGGGATGGTACCCGGCGAGGAAAGGGATCTGGCCACTCGGAGAAGGATGTGTGCGTTGGGGCGGAGGACCAGGAGGCTGTAACGAGGAAAAGTGGAAGGAAGAAAGGGCAGGGAGGGGGAGCGAGCAGGAAACGGTGGAGCCGCCGGCGAGCGGAGAGGGGAAGGATGGATGGGGACTGGAAAGGTGGGACGCCGGGAGACCCCGGCACCGGGGCTCCGCGGGGAGGGGCTGGTGGGCTGGGAGCGGGGGGGGTTCGGGGTCCGCGGAATGCCGGGAACCGGGGCTGGAGGAGACCCCGGGGCGGGAGCTCTCGAGGCGAGCAGCTGGAAGTAGGGGTTCTGGGGAGGCCAGGACCAGAACAGGGGGCGTCCCAGTACGACAAGGGTGTGTGTGTGTGTGTGTGCCGGTCTGTGCGCGCGCGCGAAGACACCGTCGGGTTAGCGCGGGGAGATGGGGCTGAAGGAGGGCAGGAGGTGGGCGGGAGGCTGGCGCGGGGTGGGGGCTCCGGAGCCCGCCGGGGTACAGAGGGCGGGAAGGTCCTGGTCCCCCGAGGGCCCGGCGTGGGGCGGAGGTCTCCCGAAGATCGGGCCGGAGTCCCCGTAGTTTTCCAAGCGCCAGGCTCCGGGTCGCCTCCCAGCCGGGTGTCCTCCGAAAGCCGGGGTCCCCCCGGGGCGGGGCTGGGGGTTCCCGGAGTCCCTCCCCGGAGATCAGAGCGGCACCCCCCCCCCACCCCGGGGCCCCTGACCCCCCTCCTACCTATGCCCGGCGCCACATAGACGAAGTAGAGCAGCGAGGACGACAGCGAGAAGAAGAAGAGCGCAGCGAGCAGCGAGCGGCGCGGCAGCCGCAGCAGCCCCCGGCGGACGCGCATGCTGCAGCCAGGCCGCCGCTCGGGCGCCGGGCCGGGCCTGCTCCCGCCGCTCCCCGTCTGCCGCCTCCCGGGCAGCCGCCGCCGCGCGGGCCTCGGCCTCCGCCTCCCCGGCCTCGCCGGCTGCCTCTCGCCGCCGCCGCGCCCTCCCAGCCGCCGGCCGCCGCGGGCCCGGCCACATGAAGCGGGCGGGGGCCTGAGCGGCCCGGCGGAGAGCGCAGCGGCGGGGGCGGGGCGGGGCGGGGCGGGCCGCGGGGGCGGGCCGGGGGCGGAGCCAGCGCCGCCGGGCACCGTCGCAAAAGACCCGCGCGCGCGCTCACCGCGTGCTCCCCCCCCACAGTGCGGCCCCCCGCGGCGGCCCGCGGGGGAATGTCGCCAAATGGCGACAGCCCCTCTCACCGGAGCGGCCGCCGCCCTGGCTTTTGGGGAGCGTCGCTGAAGTGCCCGTCGGACGCCCCCGACCTGGGAGCCCAGGGACAGTCTGCAGTGTCTGACGCGGCTGGTCACCCACTGCGACAGGAGAGTGGGGATTGTAGGCGAGGGGGCTCAGTACACACCTTCATTCAATCATCCATTCGGTTCACCGTTTATTGCAAGTCAGACGGGTGCGTGAGCATGTCTTGGCACTCGGGATGCTACATAGGACAAAACGGGCAAAATCTCTGTCTTCTTGAACCGAACACTCAAATGGAAGGAAAAAAAGAAAGATCAACTCTTAATGTCAGGTACTGATAAGTGATGTGAAACACAATAAAACAGAATGTGTTTGAGGGGGACTAAGGTCAGGGAAGGCCTCCCTAAGGAGTCACATCAAAGGGTGAACAGCAGTTGCCAAAGCCCTGAGGTTAAAAAAGCTTGATCTGACCCCAGGTTGACTCAAGATCAGCATGGATAAAATCCAAGGGCAGGTTGTAGCCCTGGACAGATTCCACATCCCAGAGACTCCTAAGGAGCTTAATGATAGCAGTCATCAGAGGGAAGACTCGCCCTTGAGAGACACTGGCCTTTACTTACCTCATTAGATCACCCCCAACAACCTTGAGATGTGTGCTCTTATTATTCCTGTTGTACAAATGAAGAGTGAGGCTCCTGGATGGAGAAGCAATCCACTCAAGCCTTGCAGTAAGAGATTAAACTAAAAATGACCGGGCTCAGACTTCCCTGATGGGACAGTGGTTAAGAATCCGCCTACCAATGCAGGGCACATAGGTTTGATCCCTGGTTCCGGAAGGTTCCGCATGCTGTGGGGGTAACTAAGCCCATGCATGACAACTGCTGAGCACAAGCCCTAAAGCCACAGCAGCAAGAAGCCCACTCACCACAACTAGAGAGTGGCCCCTCTCGCCGCAACTAGAGAAAGCCGGCATGCAGCAACGAAGACCCAGTGAAGCCAAAAATAAATGAATAAATAAATAAAATCTTTTTAAAATGATCCATCTGTCAAGGTACCCTTGACCAGTAGATTGTAGATTTTAAGTGCCTCAGCATTCCATCTGGACCCTAATTCCTATCCTGAAGACAAATTGGTATCCTCCTGTGTAGGATAGCATGCGGCCATATCCAAGCAACGCTTCACGGTCAGCCTCAGGCTGGAAGATCTCTGAGGCAGTGGGCACAGTAGAACCTGCCTCAGCCTCAGTGGGCCGCCAGCTGAACTGGGGAGCCAAGTATCCCCTTGGAATGCCAGAGCAGTCAGAGGAAGAAAGGACTTTGCAGGGATTCTGTGAAAACCAACAGTTATCCTGCTTTGTATTCGTTCCTAAAGTGGTTTATACTTTTCACAGTGTTTCTTTGGCTCTTTAAATGAGGGCTCTAGAGTCAGACTGTCCTGGTTCATTGACTCCTGCCTCTTGCATTCTTAGTTGAACACAACCTTAGGCAAGTTACTTAACCTCTCTGCCTCTCAGTAAAATGGTGGATATTATCAGTAAGGACGACGTCAGATTGTTGTGAGAATTTGAGTAATACATGCACACTAGTTCTCAGCTGAGCAACGCCCCCAGGAAATGGGATGAAAAAGAAGAGGCTTGAACGACAAAAAGAAAAGCAAATATTTTGACTCGGACAGACGTGAATTCAAATCTTAACTTGGTCTCAACTGGCTGTGACCTTGAACAAGTCATTGCACCCTCCGAGCCTCTATTCACTACCTGTGAATTGGACCCAGCGGTGCCCGTCCTATAGGGATGTACTGCAGGGTAAGTGAGATACAGAGGTGAGGCCTTAGACCAGAAATCTCAGACTAACTGGAATAATCTGACCTGCCACTTCTTTTGTTTGGACCATGCAACGCTGCCTCCCTCCCAACTCTGTCTTTAATGAATGTTTACAAACACACAGAAAAGTTCAAAGACTAGTACAAGGAACAACTGTACACTCTCCACCTGGACTGTTCTTTTTCCAGATTTATAAACAAATTTATTTGTATACAATTTTTAAATGTTACTTTCCATTTACAGTTATTACAAAATATTGGCTATGGTCCCCATGTTGTAGAATACACCTTTGAGCCTATCTTACATCAAATAGTTTATTCGTCCCACTTCCTTATCCCTACATTGCCCCTCCCCCTATTTTTTCAGATTTATCTATATTCATATATAGTTCTTTTTCTGAATTATTTAAGTTAGTTGCCGCCTTACTGGTACTTCATGCTTCAATACTTCCACAGGAAATCCTAAGAAAAAGTACATTTTCCTACATAACCACAAAAATATTATTACACCTAAGAAAATGAACAGTTATACTACAATGAACTGTAATATCCAGTTCGTTCCCAAATTTGGACAGGGAAGCCTGGCGTGCTGCAGTCCACGGGGTTGCAAAGATTTGGACATGACTTAGCGACTGAACAACAGAGCAATTCCCAAATTTCCCCCTGGGTTTAAAAAATATCTTTGAGACTTCCCTGGTGATCCAGTGGTTAAGACTCCACACTTCACTGCAGGGGCCATGGGTTCATTCTGGGTACTAAGATCCCACCTGCTCCATGCTGCAGCCAAAGAGAAAGGAAGAAAGAAAAAGCTAGAAGATATGCAAATGGCCAATAAGCACATGAAAAGATGCTTGCATTTATTTGTCATCTGAAAAATGCAAATTAAAACCACACCTCGATACAACATTGGCTGCTGGTTCAGAGGAAAAAAGGGAGCGTCTAGGGCCGAGCCTGGAGGAAGTCTCCCTTGAATGGCAGAGTAGGAAATTGTGACCCTGCCAAGGAGTCAGAGAGATTGGAGGCTGGGTGTTCTGGAAGTTGAGGGAAGAGGTGCCCCTGCATTTGTGAGCGGGATCAATAACCATCCTTGGACGCATCGTTTGGAACCCCTCCCTCCCTCATTGCACGTTGGTAAATGACACTCACAGGACTGACTGCCTCAGAGTGCTGCTGCGTGGAGAGATCTCGGGGACTTGAGAACCGCTAACAACGCTGGGCCTCTCTGTGGGCTTCCCAGTTGGTGCTAGTAGTAAAGAATCTGTCTGCCAACACAGGAGACATTAGATCCCTGGGTCAGGAAGATCCCCTGGAGGAGGAAATGGCAACCCACTCCAGTATTCTTGCCTGGAGAATCCCATGGACAGAGGAGCCTGGCGGTCTACAGTCCATGGGGCTGCAAAGAGTTGGATCCAAAATGGGCTCCAGCTAGGAAGTGGGTGCAGGGATCCAGCTGACTCAGAGCAAATGTCCTCCACAGTTGGATTCCCTCACCATCCATCTCTACCCTAGCCTAGGTGGGCAAGGAATTCCCCTGTTCACAGTGAAGGGGAGACCCTCCCACATCTGGACTATATACTGATGACCAATCTCCACTCAGATTCATCTAAAATAACAAGGCATTGATTGATTATTTTTTTTCAAATGGAAGGGGGGGAAAGATGGTAAAGTCTTTCCTCCACACCTCCTTTCATCTCCAAGTCAGGTTTCCAACTCACTCAAGCATTCATTCATTCATTCATTCAATCACTATCCACTCTCTGTCAAACAAGCTCACTGCTTTCTGGTCTCTGCTCACATGTTATCTCCTCCAAGAGATTTTTCTCTAAAATATTTTCCTTCTCCTACCCAGAACTCTTTATCTCCTTACCCACTTTCTTTTTCTTCATGTTACTTTTCATCCTTGACATCACATGTATGTCTTTATTTGCTCCTTTTCTGTCTCCCACCTTGGAACATAAGCTCCATGAGGTCAGAGATTTTGTTTCATTCTCTGCTGAATCTTTGCACCCAGCACAGTGCCTAGCACACAGCGTGCGTGAGCATGCAGTCACATCTGAGTCTTTGTGACCCCATGGACCATATAGCCCACCAGGCTCCTCTGTCCATGGGATTTCCCAGGCAAGAGTATTGGAGTGGGTTTCCATTTCTTCCAGGGCATCTTCCCGACCCAGGGATCGGACCCTTCGTGTCCTGTGCCTCCTACAGGCAGATTTACCCGCTGAGCCAGTGGGGTAGGTGCGCAATAGTTGTTGAAGGAGTGCTGAACGAATAGCAGATGTGCCCTGAGCACATCTGGGCATGACAGATGCAGAGGTGACCAAGAGGAGGTGCCTGCAGCCCAGCGGCAGGGTGGACAGGAAAGTGAGTAACTGCGCACGATGCGGGACTCATACTACCAGCAGTCTGGGGAGGTGGCCTGTGAGATCCTGGGTGGCCTTTGAAAGGGAGTTGAGACATACTTGCTCCAGGGGCAGGGAGGGGAGGCCAGCCTGCCTGGAGCAGCTGGTTCCTCCAAGGAAAAGGGGCCCTGACCCTGTAGCTCAGTAGAGGCCTCGGAGTCAGAAAGATCTTGTGACCAACCAGTTCTGCCTCTTTTGGACCCTGACTGCACGACCTTGACAAGTCACTGCACCTCTCAGAGCCTCCATGTCCACATCTGTAAAACGGGGATCATAGCTCCTTCTTCCTGGGGTTGCTGTGAGGATTTGAGGAGTGTCTGTAAAGAGCCTGGCATGTAACAGGCTCTCAGTCAAGGGGAACTGTCCTGTTCTTACACTTTTTCTTCTGTGGGCCACAGGGAGCCCTTGAAGGTTTTGCAGGAGAGGAGTGACCTAAAGAAAGGTGGAGGGCGGTGGGGGCTGGGAGGTCCCTGGAGAAATTCCAGGAGAGCATGAGTTGGGCCTCATGTGCTAGTCAACCCTCACTTACAGACTTGCTGGAGCAAAACACATCAAAGGATCTAGAGCCTAAAGTAAGTCAGAAATAGCACCATGCCCTCCCCAACCACCTGCCCTGAGGAAACCGTTGCCTAATCCATAAATGCTAATCACCAATGGTGTGATAACATTGCACAGCGGGGACAGCTGAGTTCACCCTCCCGGGGCAGTGCGTAGATAAAGATCGCTGACATGTCCTAACTGCTTTCCAGGCCCCAGGAGTCTTGGCATCAATTACTTCTGGTGCCAGAAACCCCTGCCGAGGAAACCCTCACTGGGAGGCTCCCCGTGGTAAGCTCTAGCTGGGGAGCCCATCAGCCCTTCCAGAAGAAACTGAGGCACAGCGCAGAAGAAACAGACATCGTTTCCTGCCAGCAGCTTCAAGAGCCAGTGGGTCCTCCTGCCCCTCCGCCGCAGCGCTCCACAGCGGTCCTCGTTGGTGCCCCGCCGTCCAGCTGAGTCCCAGAGAGAGGAGAAAACTCCCCCGAGCCCCCTGGGCAGGGATGAACATACAACCTGAGCAAGAAATAAGACTTTGTTTTAAGCCTCTGAGATACAGGGGCTATTTGGACCTGTTTTGGTTTTGTTTATCTAATATCTATTTATTTACTCATTTGGCTGCGCTGGGTCTTGGTTATGGCACACAGGACCGTGGATCTTTCTTGCAGCGTGCAGAACTCTTAGCTGCGGCACGTGGGAGCTAGTTCCCTGACTAGTGATTGAACCCAGGTCCCCTGCATTGGGATCACAGAGTCTTAGCCACCGGACCACTAGGGAAGTCCCAGGGGCAGTTTGTTTTACGTCAATATAACCAGGCTTATGACTCAGTGGTAAAGAATCTGCGGGCCAATGCAGGAGCCACAGGAGACACGGGTTCAATCCCTGGGTCAGGAAGATCCCCTAGAGGAGGAAATGGCAACCCACTCCAGTATCCTTGCCTGGAAAATCCTATGAACAGAGGAGCCTGGTGGGCTACAGTCCATAGGATCGCAGAGAGTTGGACACAACTGAGTGACTATGCATGCATACGTGCAACCTGGCTTATCCTAGCTGATCACAAATAAACTCTTGTGCAATTTGCTTTCTCTCGACATGTTTTTATAAGATACAGCTGCAATGAAACAGAGCAGGAGTTTATTCATTTCTTAATGATGTTTATTTTGTTGCTTCTTTTTTTGCCAGTATCGGTCCATAGATCCTTAGCTACAATTCAAAATCTAAAAAATCTAAAACCTAAGTGCTTCTTCATAATTTATTTGGCAGTAAAACTCAACCTGACTTGAACTAGTGATAAAACTCACCTTAATAGACAGAAAGCTATTTGTAGTCTTTATCACACTTAATATGAATATTCCTGTGTTCCTACATGAGCAAATATTTAGATTTTTACTTAGAGATTGACCCAGTCCTCTCAAAGGACTTCAAATGCTCAGTGTATATACCATACCACTCAAGATGTTCAGTGTATATACCATATTACCTTTCAAAATTCTGAGATTCTTACAAAATTGCAAACCACATCAGACCCCAAGGGGGTTGGATAAGGGATGGTGGCCCAGTGCAAACATAGCTGCAATGAGCATCTCTGGCAGGATGTTACTCACAAAGGTGGCCTCAACAATATTTCCCATTCCCGTGTTCTTCTGGAACTTTCTTTCATTCGCCTCCCTTTGAATCTGGCTGGGATTGTGAATCACTTGTAGCCAAGAAAAAGAAGTGGAAATGAGAGTGCACATAACTTCTGAGGAAATGCAGCTTCTGATGTGTTGGTTGAAACACCCACCTTTGGAGCCTTTAGCTACCACACGGTGAGGAAGTCCAGGCCACGTGAAGAGGCCATGTCCGGGTGCCCGGGTCAAGGCCCTGGCAGAGGTCCCTGCTGCCAGACAGCATCAATCACCAGATACTGGAGAAAGCAAACCTTCGACAGTCTAGCCCCCAGCTGTCAAGTCTTCCTCGTTTACACCATGAAGTCTGGGCTGGTTTGCTGCATAGCAATAGGATCTTTAACAGTGCCGTTCTGCCTGTGCCCTGCGCACGAGGGCAAGACTTTCTCCAGAGCGTATTCATGTGAGTGCAGTTTGCTGAGCAGTAGGAATGCACCTCTTCTGATGAACTGTTTCCAAATTGTTCTCTGAAACGGGTGTGCCAATTTACACTCTGCAGCAGTGAACAAGGATTTCACGACTTCCTGCCTCACCCACAGTTCTATGATGAGATTGTTCCAGGGTTCTGTCCCTCTGCCATGAAATCCCTCTGAAGAAAGAGAGTAAGATAGGAGGAACTGGCATAAAAAGTTAGCGGAAGTCCTCTAGTAGCATTAATTCTATAGAGCACTATGGCTTTGCCATCAAAAGACTGATTCATACCCCCTTTCTACATTCTGACGCTATTTTTTCTACCCTGAACAGCCTGGCCTAGGGCATGCCTGGGTCGCTTCCGAGTGTCCAGTGATAGAAGTGATTTATATCTATCTAGGTGCCAGGCATTTTTCTAAATGCTATGAGAAGAAAGGGGAGGAGGAGGAGGAGAAGTGTAGGTACCAGTATTTACTGAACTTGTTTTTTTAGCTACTTAACATCCATTCACTTCTGCAACAGCTCCAATTTCCTCCTCCTCTTGCTTTCAGTCTGTGGGGTTCTCTGAACTCTGAACTCCATTTCTGACTCGTTAGGTGAGCCAGCCTGGTTAGTCGGAATACTGTATTCCTCTGGTAGTAATAATTGGTTCAGGGTTGGGTAGACCCATCAGAGCCAATGAGACCAGTTCCTAGACATTTAAATTTGTGCTTTTGGAGAGCCAACTCTCCCCTTCATGCTAGACGTAAATATGAAAATTTGTGATGCTGGAGCAATGGCAGCCCTTTTATCAACATGTGGCGCCTGGGGATCAAGACAGCATGTGGAGAGAAACTGATGCAAGTAACAAAGAGAAATTGAGTCCTGATGACACAATTTCAGTCATGAATCCACCTAGTCCTGGCCTGCCATTCACTCCCCCAACCCTGTCCCCTCAGTTTTCTATCTGCTAAGGTTTTTCTGTTTTGTTTTCAATCGAAGTATAACACACACACAGAAACATACACATATCACAAATGTATAGCTCACTGAATTTTTAAAACTGAATATACCCATTAAACAAGCACTTAAGAAAAAGAACATCACTGGTTCTCACTTGTATAAGTAGAATCATAGAGCATATTCTTTTATGTCTGACTTCTTTTGTTCAGCATTATATTTGAGATTCAATCATATTGAGGAGTGAGGTTGCAAGTCATTCATTTTAATTGCTGAATAGTATTCCAGTTTCTTATCCAAGCAGCTGTTATCAGGAATTTGTGTAGTTTTGAGTTGGAGGCTGCTATAAATAATGCTGCTATAAAATCTTTAGTGTAGTGGCTCTGATACTAGTAAACTACTCTCTTGACATAATGTATAAGTCAGGACTTTCAACTCAAAAAGGAAAAAGGAATTTATTGCCTTACATGACTATAATGGCCTGAGGCAAGTTTACATGGCTTCAGGCATAGCTGAATCCAAGGGCTCAGTGTAATATCATCAGCACACAATTTCTCTCCATATCTTAGCTCTGCTTTCCTTTGGCTTGGCTTCATCAGATTCCTCTGTTGACCAGCCCCTGAGAAGGTGGTCCCCATAGCTAAGGAATCTGCACCCAAAAAAGAGTATTTGTGATCAAGTCTAACTGGTCTGCTTTCAGTCACATGATCATCCCTGAACCTGTCCCCGTGACTAAGGGGATGGAGTGTGCTGATTGCCTGGACCTGGTCACATGCCCATGCCTAGAGCCGAGGAGCAAGGGGAGCTTCATATGAACCATGTGGCTGATAGTGGGAAAGGGTGACTCCCCAAAGGCAGACCGACCGTGCAGTTGCTCTAGTGGAATAGATGCTGCGTAGTGACAACAACAGATATCTGCGGACTATACTAAGCTTTCTTATGCCTTCATGACCCTGCATACTTTGTTTCTGCTTCCTGGAAAACTTGGGTTCTCATCTCTCTTCATCCTTTGAGACCCAGCTCAAATTTGTTTCCCTATCATGAAATCTCCCAGAATTATGGGTCTGGATACTCAGATGGGTGCTCTTGACCTCCATTTCCCTCTCCTTCTATTGCAAGAGGCTCAAAAGCTTAAAATGACATTTACCAGACTCTCCTGCAGCACGGAAGTCAATGGTAAATTAAGCTCTGTCAACTAGATGCATTTGCGTAAAATCTGAAGGGTGAAAGGGAGGCATTGGTCCTCTCCCTGTGGCTGACCAGCCAGTCCTAGAAGATGGGAGGAGTATGGGCAGTGAAGTCCACCATCTAGTCCCCAGTTCGGAGGGTGTGAGGAGTAGGAGGTAAGTGGTGATGGCAGGAACAGCAGCAGTTTGGTGACTTCTGAAGCATGGCGTGGTGGAGGAACCTTAAATTTAAGTCACCCTGACTACTCTTCCCGCCCTTCTGGCATTTTTGCAAGCACCAATATTCCTGTATCAGATCCTTTTGGGGGACTTCCCTGGTGGTCGAGTGGCTAAGACTCTGTGATCCCAGTGCAGGGGCCTCGGGCTCAATCCTTGGTCATGGAACTAGAGTCCACATACTGCAAGGAAGACCAGGATAAATAAATATCTATTTTTTTAAAATCTGTTTTTTTACTATAATACCTGGAGTGGTTTCTATTTCCTGAACTACCTCCTGACATAAAATTCTCCTATGTAGAATAATCATAGACACTTCTATGAGAGCACCAATCACACTGTTTTATAGGCACATAGGAGCATGTGGGTGTATATGCACGTGTGTGTACATAATAAAACAAGTACTTAAATAGCACTTACTCTGTATCAGGTGCTATTCTAAGCACTGTGTAAAATAGGAACTTACTTAATCCTTACAACATCTCGAGGTAGATATTATCACCCTCATTCACAGGAGAAGAAACTTAAGTCTAGGATTAAGGAGCTTGCCCAAGGTCACACAGCTGGTTTTGTGTGAGTGCTGTGACTGTTATGCCTAGATTATACATTTCCTTGAGGACAAGAAAATGTCTCTGTTTTGTCTTCACACTCTTTGTGCCTAAATCTGGGCCTTCCACGTGGTAAATTTTTAGCAGCTATTGGTTAAATGAATAAAACTGTTTATGAACTCAACTGACTCTGCTCTAAGAAAACAAAAAATTACCCCTTTCATTTAATCATTTAAAAAATGTTTCAAGGTGTTTCTTTTCCCTCTAAAGCATGGGTAAGCAAACTTCTTTTGTAAAGGGCCAGATAACGGATATTTTTAGTTTCACAGGGCATACAGTCTCTATCACAGCCACCTAATTCTGCTGCTGTGGCACAAGTGCAGCCATAGATATGCGGCTGTGTTCCAATAAAACTTTATTTTCAAAGACAGGAAGTGGGCCAGATTTGGCCCATGAGTTGTGGTTTGCTAACCCCTGCAACAGACAATGAG